AATAACGATTTTTAACATTGACCAGAAAATCAGGACTATCATGAAGACCACAGTAAACTATTAAACAATAACATCGATATTATAACCAATGTTACGGATGATTATTTACAAGAAGCAGTGGAGTCCATGGTTGGAAAAGTGGGAAGTGGCATATTGAAAGTGGATAATGTAAATTTGGAAGAAATTTTCGAAAAGTACCGTGATGAGTGTGAAAGTAGATTTGAGTGAGTAAAATCGTCTCCCATAATTATATGAACCTGTTTTATTCATCGTTTTGTTATCAGTTTATGCCACAGTGATATTATGGATTTGAGACCCACTTCACAATTGACAAAAATTATTCCCGAAGTGACGTGGGAAAAATTTATCTTGGATACATATCCTAACCATAAAATATCGGAAAAATGGGAAGAATTAATACAAGGTTTTTTTAAGGTATATTTCAAGATCTAGAAATCTCGAATTATTTTTTGAATTATTAGTCCTAATTGCTGTTTATCAATTAGCCAAAAAATACCCTAACCGAATGGGAGAAAGCCTGGCGCAGACTTTTTGACGAAAAAGAAAGTAGTGAAGATCTGGTGATAAAAGATACATTATACAATATACTCTCCCCATAGTACGTTCAGGCCTTTATGATGTCTGTATTTTTATATTTAGTGGTATAATGTCATATTTGAATTTATTCTTTTTAGCATTGAAGCTTTTAAAGCACCGTTTAATATACTAAAGTCTGGTGATCTGGAGGAAAATCAATATAATTCACAATTTGTAAATCCCATTTTAAAAAATACGCTCAATGCTATTTGTAGTATGGATTGGAGAATGTAAGTTATCCATTCCGGGAAAATATTCATTTGTAGTGGTTAACAATGTTATTGCCTGTTAATAGCCTCGAGGTTCCAACCAGAAGTAGCAAATATCGACGCAATTCTAATATCGACCCATTCCTTGATAAAGTTTTGAGTGCAAAACGTGCGGATGGCCTGGCGCGTCGATGGCAAAGCCAGGAAGAAACATTCGTATATGAACAGACAGGAGGACCAGATGTTGATGATGTTACCGATTTTTACGTCCACGATTATAAATTGGTGCGAACCATGCGTGATGTGTTGAATCAACGAATTATTCTTCGGCTCAATGATGGTATAAAAGATTGCAACAACTTGGCTAGTTTCGGTGCTCTGGGTCATCGTGATGAAGTATCTCTGTTTTGGTGCACGATACACCTAAGATCTTATTGTTTACGTGAATATGGAAGCTTTCGCATACCCACAATATGGCAAGATCTTCCCGTTCTATCTGAAACAATAATAACATGCTTGAAGTTTTTTGTGAGTGCCACTAAATGTGATTCTACTTCACTTTACATTGTTCCTTGTTATTAATTATTTATTTATGTTTAGTCTTTCATGAAAGACAACACCATGAGAATCGAGTCACGTGCCGATCAAAAAATGAAATTACTTTCCAAGCGGAAGATTCATACAGTTACGCCAAATCCACCAACTCCCGATAGAACAAAAAAACAAACAAAAAAACAAAAGAAATAGTAGTATATGATTTTCTTCTAGTAAAG